AAGATTTTTAGTATTAGTGTGACTAAATTTGAAAAATTAAAGAATATAAAAAATGAAAGTTTTAGCGCACACATTGTAAACCTTTTTCTTAAAACAAAATATTTTACGTCAGTTTTAGGACCATACATTTTTGATTTCTACACTCTATAATGTATACAAAATTCTTTATGGGATAATCACTAATGCAATTTTTGTAGTTGATGATAACATCTTTACTCTATTACTGATTAATATTTATTAATGAATAAAGCTCTAGATGCTTTACTAATTAACGTGATTATAGTCAAACTTCTCGAGCTGTGATATCTAGTTCGATATCAAAGATAATGATATTATTCGTATCACTTTTGAAGGAAACGACAAATTCATAAATGGACTTGAGTTTAAAAAAGAAAAAAGAATAATTCCATGATAAATATAAAGTAGAAAGTAGAAAGTAGAATGTGCCTTCAACTTGATATGCCTGACTAGAGCTGTTGCCGTGAATAGACAAAGCAAACGATCAGGAAAAAAAGACAAGGCTTATAAATGTCCACACATTAAATATTATTCTTACCTTGCCTCTATCCTTGTTGATTGATAAAAGAGTGACCTTCTATGACAACGCGGTGTGTGGAAACGATCCATTATTTTAACATTGTGTAGTTCAATTAGTAAGGATATCATAGTTAGAAATGCCTAAATAATTGAAAAAGGAGACGAATAACGCGAATATAGTTTGACTTGTTTTTCTCTTCAACGAATTATAATCATCAGTGTTTTGTGGACTATAATGAACAACGTTGCTATTATTGAGTAAGTTAATCCTGATCTCCAATTAAATTAAAAATTGGCTCTAATCTGAATTTATTTAAACTCTTCATGAATAGATTTTTGTTCACCACATTATTCAAGGAAAATGTATTTATTATTCAAAGATAAGACTAATAGGAATCCCGCTATCAGTAACATTTTTACTCTTCCTGTTTCCTTCTTCACCTTTAATATTAGTCATAAATTGCACTCACCATTTACACTCATCAAAACTTATCTTTTTTTTTTGTCTTCCTATGAAACCTGTTAAGCATAATGAAATATTGTGCATCCTACTTCAGTTATTATCTATAAACATAATTAAGTTCAAAAATGCTGCATTGAAAAAATTGTATTTTACTTTAAAGTGGCTTTAAATAAAATGGGAAAACTTTGTTTTTATGAATCTTATAGCTTTTGGGTGAAAATTATCTGAATTGTGCCATTTGATAACCAAATATTTTCCGTGAAAAACTGAGTCCGGATATAAGTAGAAAAATATCCGAGGACATTGTTTTTCTCTTCGTTGTAACAGAAGATCGAACACACTAATCACTTGTGTATCCGTAGAATGTAGAAAACAGACAGAAACTTATCTTAGTTGAATAGTCCTCTATTGACGCACTATCTCAAATTAGTTTCTATTAAAGTTATTAGCCAACACCAATCATGGCTGTTAGAGGAAAAAGACTTCATATTCGCGGTGTTCCATATAAACTTGAAAGTAAAATTGGCTACGGTTTGCATAGTAATGTTTATAGTGCACGAGATATTTCAACAGGACGACCTGTAGCAATAAAAATCGTTGAATTTGGACATGGTGCAGCGATTAAAGCTCGCACGGAATCTCGACGACAAACTTTTTGGAAAGAACTTGACCTACTTTTACATTTACAACCGTTAAATCCTTATATCATACGTGTGTTAAACTGGGATTCTCGTGAGACAGTTGGTTTTATTGTCATGGAAAGAGGTAATACATTTCGAGATACATTGGTTGAAACACATTTATCGGGAGAAAAATTACAGTTACCATTAGTGAAACAATTTTGGTCACAAATGGTTGAAGCTATATACTTTTTACATCGAATTGGAATTGTACATGCCGATGTTAAACCGGAAAATTTCATTCAAGTTGGACCAGATGGTACCTCGTTACGTCTAATTGACATGGGTATTAGTTTTCGTTTACCACCATTTATTACAAGTCGCTTAAAAACTGCAGCTGGTACACCCGGTAAGCACTTATATATATCTTTTTTTAGCAAGAATTATGGTCAAATTTAATTATAATTATAATGAAATTTTGATTATTTTTTTTTTAAGATTATGTTGCGCCCGAATTAATTAATGCCAGATACGATCATAGTTCAAAATCAAAATTTGGTTATAAAAGTGACATATGGTGAAACAATTCAACTATTACATTCAATCTATTTTTTGGATGATGTTGTTTACATACACAAAGAAAAATTAGTTTATGGAGACAATACATATCAAAAAATATTATGAAATAAATGACTAGTGTCAGTCACTAGGAGTGTTATTATATGAAATGGCTTTTGATGAAAGACCTTTCCAATATTTAGGTGATAATTCGAATAAAATTGCCTTTTTAGGAAAACTGAGAAATGATATTCGTATTCCACCACATCCAGATCCGTTACTTCGGAGTGTTTTGAGAAAATGCTTACGTTTTAATCCAAGACGGCGACCGACAGCCGAAAAGTTAATGAAACATCCATATTTAACCAGTGGTTTACATTAATTATAATATCAATGTCCATGTCCAAACACAGAAAAGATGTTATGACCATGTTTTTGATAGAAATAAAAGTAAACGCCTACCGTTATGCGCATAACATTGAATGGTGTTTTTATACTTTTTTGTTCTTTTTGTACATATATGTTTTACCAGTATTGTTATCGAATTGTTAAGTTGTTATTTTAAGTTTTTTTATTGCCGAAATAACATTATTTCCATCTGTCTGATTAAGAGAAGGACATGTGTTTTTTCGCTAATATACTGTGCTTCACAATACTCACGATATCGACCTAATCAATATTTGTGGTAGAAGATTGCATAAATATTTTAGTAGTACTTTTTGTAACAGAAAATCATAGAAAAAAGACTGTTACGTATTCGCAAATATTAATTTCTGAGAACAGTACAGGTCATCAGTTTATAAACTAGAACGATACTATTGACGTCTCCATAGAGAAGCCTTTTAACAGCATGTGTAAAACAAGTGGCCTGTACAGAAATGCTGAACCCTGTATATTACGAAAAATTTTTTTAGGTAAGAATAATCGGACCGATTTTATAAATGAAAGTCAATATCGTTCAAAATTTCATTTTTTTTTGTCATAAATACGTATACCGGTTTCAAAAAGAAAGCAGTAGCGAAGCATGCTATACACAACAATGTATATATATGCAAATTTTCGCTTGATTATTTTTGTTATATTTGTCAGTTTTTTTATCATGTAGTTGATTTTTGATCGATGCGTTGGTGTAACATCCATTTTTATATAAAATCTATACAAGGTTATTAAATATGTATGATAGTGGTTATATACAGCTATAGATTGCAAACATACACAACTGTGCATTTCACCTGTTTTCTTCTCTTGCTATGGTTAAAGTTCCGAACAATAGAAAAAAGAGGATTGCATTGCTATGCTTACTATCAAAGTTTATGTGACCGAGAGCATGAAAATGTTTGTTTAAGTCCAAAACAATTCTATAGACTCTTGACGAAGAGGATCGTGTAACCACTGTTCAACAACAAATGGGTGACATTTTTCAGCCAGGAAAACATTTGACATTACGTAATGGTAATACATACCAAATTTATGGAATGCTTGGCATGGGTTTACACAGCAAAGTTTATACTGCACGTGATAATAAAACAAATCAAACATTAGCGTTAAAAGTAATTGATCTTAATCATAAAAATATGTATGTTAAAGCGAGTACCATCTCTCGTCGCCAAAGTTTTCAAAACGAATTACGCTACTTACTACGATTACAAAAAACTAATCCGTATATTGTACGCGTATTCGATTATGATATTCGAAATACCGGTATAATAGCCATGGAACAAGGACTACCATTACGACAGTATTTACCGAAAACTAATGTTCCTTCGGGCCCATTATTACACCCATCAACCGTTCATCAGATGTGGTACCAATTAGTTGATGGCATTCGTTTGTTACATCAATCAAGAATTGTACATTCTGATCTTAAACCAGAAAATATAATCGTATTATCAAACGGACAAACAAAAATAATCGATTTAGGCGTATCGTTCACACTGCCAAGAATGGTTTCGGCAAAAAGACGGATATGGGCAGGAACCCCTGATTATAGTTCACCTGAAATGCACAGGATACCTAAAGGGGTAGTACCTAAGTTCGGTTATAAAAGTGATATATGGTCTCTAGGAATTATTCTGTATGAAATGGCTGCTGGTTATCGACCACTTTATGGTTTGAGCACAAACTATGAAAAAATTAACTATTTAAGGCACTTGAAACATGATTTACCAATTGATCAGAATTTAGAGAAGGGTGTATATAATGCATTGACGCAATGTTTAAGAGTGGATCCTAAACATCGTCCTACTGCTGAGCAGTTATTTGTACATCCCTATGTAGTCAATGGTTACTAGAGAAGAAAAAATCTTTGTTTCTGACAAAATATTATAGAGTAGAAAATTGATTTGTCTTGGAAATATTGTCTAAGTATTCTGATGGTCTATTTAAAGAAGAAGTATCAGAAAGACGTTAGCAGCAACATTAAATTATGGTATATTTTAGACTTCGAAAAGAAGATTTATCCATGCAGAATAGTTGTTTATCCTCGTTATTGCTATTTCTTTCTAACGTCAGAATTCTAATGTAGATGCTGATGCACATTAATCTCTACCATCTCATCCATAAAATATCTCGTTTTTGCTGAAAGGTTATATTATATGCTTCTACTAGTGGGGCGTAAACGTTCCACTGTGTGGTATTATC